TGAATAGCAGAATTGAAAAAAATGTTTAAATACCCCAAATTTTTGAAGAAAAATTATAAGCCAATAATCTGTACAGAGACACTAATAAGTGAAGCCTGGTAAACAAACACTGAAATTTTGTAATGAATAAACAAAAGCAGAAAACTGATAAGGAACATCCCAAAATTGATGAGATTAAAATCTGACAATCAAAGAACGAAACTCAATACATGAAATATGTAATGTGATAACTAAAATTATAACTAGATCCCTGACATGTGGGGAGGAGGAATGGGGCACACAGAGGTTGGGCTGGGGGATGGGACATAGGGTCAGGGTTAGGCTTCAATTTAGTCATGGGTATTTTTAGTAAAAGTCACAGGCAATAAACAAAAATTCCCAACCCGTGACCTGTCCATGGACTTTACTATAAATACCCCTGACTAAATCTGAGCTGGGGTGGGGGTGGGGGGGGCTTCTGGGGCTACTGCTGCTCTGCAGGGCCCGCGGGGCAGCCCCCATCGGCCACTGCTCAGGCCATCAGCAGGGCCAGCCGCACCAGCTGCTTCTCGGGCAGTCCCCAGGGCCACCCACCAGCTGTTGCTCCAGCTGCCCCCAGGTTGCTGGGGTCAACTACACTGGCCGCTGCAGAAGTCATGGAGGTCATGGAAGGTCACAGAATCTGTGACTGCTACGACCTCCAGGACAGACATGCAGCCTTAGTAATGACCAACAACCAAGAGCTAACAGGGCAAATAAATAATAGCTACCAGCTAATGGTAATTAGTTGTGAATACAACATTCACTAATATTTTATTAATTACTGTTCCGAATTACTGTTCAGATTCATTGCACCCAAACTCCGGCCAAGCGGGAGATCCCTGGGACTTTCTGTCAATAACAGCCCCAAAGCTTATAGACTGCCCCACCCTCAATCATCACATCGCCAGGACTCCCAGGTCCTCCCCTGCGGGGACAGGCCTGAGGGGTCAGAGTAACAAGAGCCGTGTGTATCCCCTGCCCCACCCACCTCCAGATAATCTGCCACCGTCCGGGTAAAGTTGCTGGAAATGTTAAAAATCTAGAAACGTAATCAGGAGAAAAGGTGAGCAGTACCCTGCCGAGACCCCACTACACGCTGAACAATGTGCCCTCCTGAGCCCCCGCCCACTCCCTGCTCTCCAAGAAGCCCTACTGAGCCCCCGCCCACTCCCTGCT